ATAGGTCAAGCAGGATAAGAACCGAGGACTGGCTTCATCAACTACCTCTTAAGCAGGGTCACGTGATGCTAATGGCGGAGCAGCTGTGTTTTCGGGCACTCCCACAATTTGGCATTGGGCTTTTGTATACGACTAATTTTGTGTGATGCCGAATACCCAGAAGAAGCTCAACCTCACAAAATTGGCCAAAGCTGGAATAAACCACCCTCCACCGAGTGACCATGCTGCTGCCATAATGGCGGACACCCCCGCCGTCTTCACCACACGGCCAAGTGGACACCGACAAGTTGGTGGAGAGGATAACTGCGGAGGTGCTGAAAGTTGTGGAGGCCTCCTTTGAGAAGACGATTGACCCGGTTCTAAAAAGACCTGTGCAGCTAATATTTCCACATTAGATGCTCAAATGAAAGAGGCAGATGGGCGCATATCAACGCAGGAGGATATTACAGCGAGTCATAGTGCCATAGTGAGCTTAAGCTGGAAGCTGCCTTGGATAAGATCGATGACTTGGAGAACAGGAGCCGAAGGTGCAATACACAGGTGCTGGTCATATAATTAGAATATCATCAAAAAGTTGATTTATTTCAGTAATTCCATTCAAAAAGTGAAACTTGTATAATGTATACATTCATTCCACAAAGACTGATATATTTCAAGTGTTCATTCCTTTTAATTTTGATGATTATAACTGACAACTAATGAAAACCCTAAAATCAGTATCTCAAAAAATTAGAATATTGTGAAAAAGGTTCAATATTGAAGACACCTGGTGCCACACTCTAATCACCTAATTAACTCAAAACACCTTTAAATGGTCTCTCAGTCTAGTTCTAAAGGCTACACAATCATGGGGAAGACTGCTGACTTGACAGCTGTCCAAAAAATGACCATTGACACCTTGCACAAGGAGGGCAAGACACAAAAGGTCATTGCTAAAGAGGCTGGCTGTTCACAGAGCTGTGTCCAAGCATATTAATAGAGAGGTGAAGGGAAGGAAAACGTGGTAGAAAAAAGTGTACAAGCAATAGGGATAACCGCACCCTGGAGAGGATTGTGAAACAAAACCCATTCAAAAATTTGGGGGAGATTCACAAAGGAAAATGTGCATGTTGCTCTGTTGCAGGAGACTCACCTCACTCCTCAGGAGCACCTAAAGTTAAAACCTGACTGGGTTGGTCAGGTGTTTAGTTCCTCTTTTACAAGTAAGAGTCGTGGGGTAGCCATTTTAATACATAAACATCTGGCGCTGATGGGTGCCCAAACAATTAGTGATAAGTCTGGTAGATATCTTTAAAGGGCACCCTATACAGTCAGTCAGTGTCATTTCTGAATATTTATTTTCCACCAGTACGGTCTAACGGCTTTATTACTCATGCTTTCTCCTCCTTTTCCTATTGGGTTTGTGATAATTCAGTGATAGCCAGAGATTTTAACTGTTACTTTTCTGTGATTGCAGACAAAAAAAACCCTCAAATGTCTAATAGGGCCAAAGCACTTTTAGACACCTGTAACAGACTTGATCTAGTTGACACCTGGCGGACTCTTTGCCCTAATGATAAAGAATTTACATTCTTTTCCGGTGTTCACAGAATGAGTAGTAGAACTGATCTTGTCTTTACTCCCAAACAACCAATGGAAGCCTTTTCCACAGTACTGAAGGACAAACCATTCCTTTTCTACTGAACAGCACCCCTTTTTGGACTATCTGGATGCATCTGCCACTCGGAGGATGAGACTGGGTTTATTGGACTTGGCCTGGCAATAACGGGACAATTCCTAGCTTTTTAGACTCCCTTTGTCTTTATTCATTTAAGTATGTCCTTGTCTTGTGTATGTATATGGTCTTATGTGATGTTACCCTGCTTAGCAAAAAAGGTTAAAGAAAAAAAAAGAGAAACAAAAAAAGAAAGAACCGAGGATTGGGATGCAGTTTTAGCTGACCTTAGGGCTTCTGGTTCAGACAGAAGAGACGTTTCATTACAACCATTACTAACATTACAACTATTGCAAACATTGTAAACTGACTATTAATACAGAAAAATGTTAATCAATTACCTAATCATAACAGAAAAAACGCCTTTTACCTTTGTGTTTCTTCAGATTTGACAGAGAATTCTTGAACGCCAGAAGCTTGTGTTTTTTAGGTTGGCACAAGACACAACACGCCAAGAATCATTCTTAGAACTGACAACTTCAAATGTCTTACTGCTCTGAATGTGCGCTTTTGGCAAGGTTGCAAGTTTAAGGTAATTTATCCTGCAGGCAATGTAAATGTGTGTAAAGATTTCCATGGTAATCTATCCAATAGTTGCTGAGCTATTTCAGTCTATACTAATAGTGGATTGACCAGCCATCTTCCAAGTCAGGCCGCCGGTGTGGCTACAAACAGGGAAATGCTGATGTCATAGCAAAAGTGCTGCTTCTTTGCACATGGTGGAATTGAACATTACTCTAATCAATACACAGAGAAAATGCACAAACTGTATGGAAGGAAGGAATGTTGCACTTCAAAAATACATGCATTCGTGTTGACATGGATTTTCCTTTACACATCTTTAAAGCAGTTTCTGTGTGTGTGTTTACATGTGTTTACGGCTGCCAGTACACACATACACAGACATGAAAATGTATGTCACTTTGGATTTCACAGCTGCAGATACAGCAATTTTTCATCTTCCCTCATTTTCTATTGTCTCTTTCTTTTATTCTCTGTCAGTAGATTTTATAGATTAGGAAAAAAACACTTGCTGGTCTGGATGTTACTTTGTGGCTTCTAATTCCTAATGTGATACAAATCACACACAAGTCATAACTTTGACACTCCCAGCTGTAATAACTCCCTCCTCACACATCAAAGACTGACATAACCCCAGGATGTCAGAAGAGAAGATTGTTTGTGTGTGTGTGTGTGTGTGTGTGTGTGTGTTTGTTGAAAGGCCTTAACAGCCACAGAATGTGTGCGTTTTCTGTGCACGCATGGTTGCATGCCTGCAGATAAATGCTAGATGTACCCCTGAGGTTGAAAACCAAGTACAGTTGTGTGTGTGTGTTTGAAAATACTTTGTTCCATAATAACTTTGACTTGAAACCTTTCTCGGTTTTACTTTCAAAAGGATCAAAGGATGTCTACTGTGCCCTCTCTTCTGAGCTCTCACTAATTTAGACAGCAGCTTATAGATCACTGTACACAAAGCAGAGAGGGTTACACACACACACACACACTAATCATTGTACATAAAGTAAAGATGGTTACGACAAAGTAAAGTGTCTCGGAAGTTCTGTTTGGACAGTCTGAAAGCTGTGAAAAACATCTCCTGACATTCAGAGAGAAGTCTGTGTTCCTATTTTTTTCCAGGGATGGATGTAGCACTTTCTTCATGCCACTCCCTTTATTTTTTAAATCACACAGTGTACGTGAGACAGTGCTTAAAGTTGGCTAGTACTCACATTACCGGCTCTTCTTCTCTTCTCTTCTCTTTAGTGTACTGTGCAGTTTTCACAAGCTGCTGATCAGCATAGCAAACCTGGGTGGCCCCATACACTCACTAGCAAGTTACACAAAGGCCCCGCCTCCCCTTGTGTCAAAGTGGGTCAGTGTCAAATTGGGTGCTTCTCAAGTCTCTTAATTGCATCCATGTTTCTCTCACTTGCGTGTTTTCCTTGCATCTTAGTCCCGCCTACCGGGGATACATGGAGAGACACAAGGAAACCAAGCCAGTAGAGAAGGAACAAGGAAATATTTTCCTAATGACATGAGACGTCCTTTCCTCCGAGGCGACGTCTGTTTCTGATGACGGCGGCAGCTGATCACAGCTGGATCAGCTGTCAGTCGGCTCTAACAGCTGTAGAGACATTTGATGGAGTTTTGTCTGCACACATGTGCACTGTGTTGGTACTAATAAAGTCTCAGTTACCAGTGCAGAGCAGCATGATTCTCTCTGTAGCTGTTAGCTACCTGTTTAACAAACACCTGCACATGAATATTTATAGGTTATTGTATGTCCTGCTCAGAGGCACAGGATCATTTCTACTGGCACAATGCTTATATTATCTGCATTTATATTTATTGATTCTTATGGTTAATTAGTTATTGAGTAACTCAGAATATGATAATCTTGTCTTGGGATTTATTAGACTAAATGTTTCAGGGAAATTGAAATGCTGTAACTCTAAGTCGACACTCAGTTTTAGGCTTTCAGTTTATTTTATTTTATGATATCTTTAACACTAGCCTACTGCATAGCCTACATTTAATTTATGCAAGTCACATCACTTGTCACCAGTCAATCACTGTGTTCCATGATATCAATCCAACGCATCAGCTGATTTTACTTGCGTAGCCGCCAGCTGCTTTCATCAGAAGCAGTCGGTGAGATGGCTGGATGTGTGGCTTTATTTTCCTTTGCTTGCTTCATTAGAGACTTTAGTGCAGTTTAGTGACTTGTCCGACTCTTAACTTGTTCACTCTGTTTTATTGTCTATTTGGACTTAACACAAAAATGATCAGCCTCACATGTGACTGATTAGAAATGACGATAAATGATGTAAAACATGTTTCTTGTTGACACACTCTCTGACTTTAATTGTTTCCATAATAAAAGTTGATGGGAGAAATAAAATAAAAATTAAATCATTCTAATAGCCTAGCCTAAATGAATAAAGTTGTGTGTGGGGCTTTTGTTGTTCGGACCTACAGTGAACTGAGATTTTAACTAGACAGTGAATCAAAACAAATCAAATATAGCCCAAGACTTTGCAGTGATGCACTTGAGTTTAATGTTATCTGTCATGATGCATCAGATCAGTCTGATCAGCAGCAGGGTCCAATCAATATAACTGCTTCCCAGTAAGGGGGTGTGTCAGTCAGTAAAAAACTTCCGCGAAGGATGCACTGTGGATCCTCGGTCATAGCTCCTCAGAGATCGCTCCTCGGCCCTGTGCAATAAGAGCTTTGGGACGGTCTGCAAGATGGCGGAGCGTAACAACTTCCGGTTCAAGAGAGGATTGAGAAACGACAAATAAGAGACTTGAGAAGCACCCAGTGTCAGTGTGTACAACTTCGATGAGAGGATGAAGCGGAACTATCCTTGTCACGAAGAGAGAGTGAGATAGAAAAACAGTGTTCTGTGATTTAGTGCCTGACAAAAGTGAAATACAACAATTTATTACATTTGGTGAATGCCAGCGTGCAACAAAGTTAATAAAACTGCAGCTCAGAAAAGATAACCATTTAGTTTGTGAACATACGTTCATATTGTTACGGCCCTAGAGCCATCTGTTCTGTGTTTTGATTTGTTTGCTTCTCCTTCTCCTATAGTTCTCCAGGTACTGCCCTTCCATCTCCTGCCTCACAGCTGCAACTAGTGATTAGCAGCAGCTGCCCCTGATTCCCCGATCAACCTGGAGGATAAGAGAACAAGGAGCAAGCAACAACGAGGCAATGTGGCTGGTCTTGAGAGGCCAGCCTGTGTGGCTGCTCACCAGTGAGTCAGATGGCAGTGATTAGATGCAGCAGGAGTGGAGCTGTGTGCTTGACTGCAGCAGAGGGGAGCTGTGAGAGCTGTGAGCTCACATACCCTCTCAGAGCGGTGTTAAGTGTTTTTATTTAAGTTGTGTGTCCTGTTTTTATTTAAAAACATATCATCTCTTTTAGTTAAATAGTTCTTTGTGAAGATTTTGTGTTTCTGTGCTTCTCTTCTGTTCCTGTTTGAGGTTTGTTTGTTAATAAATATCTTATGCAGTAGATAAAGAGTAGCTTATCAGAGCACAGATAGCTGATTGTAGTTTAACGTCTTGTTTTTCTCTTGCAGAGAACCCAACATTTGAAAAGTCTGTTTTGTGCTTATGCGGCACTGGTCTCCGAGCTCTGGTATTACGCATGAGTCAGTGTCCCAAATTGTAGTGCCACAGCCATTCCGAGTTTAGCGCTTGGTCATAGCATGTCCAGCCACTTAGGAATAAGGAACGACTGTGTGCTTCGTTAATGGACTTAATCAGATGTTGTGAAATTCTTTCGATCGCGCCATATCTGTCAAGTCTCAGCAAAACCAAATCAGGTGATTCCTCCTGTTCTGTCAAAGCCCATTCCTGTCGTTGAAGAACCATTTGAGCATGTTATTGTTGACTGTGTTGGTCCTTTACCTAAAACAAAATCCGGTAACCAGTACATCCTCACCATTATGTGTTCTGCCACTCGTTATCCTGAAGCCATTCTGTTGCGCTCATTAAAAGCCTGTGTCATAGTGAAAGCGCTCCACTTTTGGTCTCCCTATACGCATCCAAAGTGACCGGGGATTGAACTTCATGTTCAAAATCTTATTGTTAAATGTGACACACCATACCTCCAGCGGTTACAATCCAGAAAGTCAGGGCGCATTAGAAAGATTTCACCAGACTCTAGAAAAGGCTACTGGCAGGTCCCACTTACTCAACACGCCTCTGAAATAAGTGCCTTCGTCACTCCCGATCATTTTCTCCAGTATACAGTCATGCCATTTAATGTTTTATTCTAATAATTGAAATGACTGTCCCCTTGGTTAAATTAATTTATGTTGTGATATGTCCTAGTGGTTTTTATTCACTGTAGAAATTCAGAATGTAATACTGAAAGGATTTGCTGATACTGGCCAATACACACAGCAATGTAAGTAATTGGTACTGGCAATAATTATATTCCACTTCAAGCACTGGCCTAAGGTCAGTACTTAACAGTGTCCTTTCAATATTCTTCATACTGTTGGAGTGAGATCACTGTCATAATTTTAATGACTGTACAATCTTTTTTAGATTTAGAAATGTTTGAAATGTGGTAGGTGCAGACAACAACTCGTAGCGTTGTCTACACAATCAAATACTAAGCATGCAACGAATTGAGGTGTTTTGTATCTAAATATGCCTGAATGTTGCATTATTTGCCAAAATCACAAATTTCAAAAGAACAAAAAATCGACTAATAACAAAACAATGTTATTCTTGCACAATGCTATAATATGATATCTTTCTACATATATTTGCTTACCATTGGCCAAGCAAATTATCCATCATGGAATGTACCTGTAATTAACTGATGGAAGATTTATAACAAATGTGATGTCTCAATTAGTGTGGATGGGATGCACCTCTGCATTGCATATCCAATTAGTAATTCAGGCTGATACAACGTGCGTATAAAGAGTATGTTGAGAGTAGATTTTAGTTTGCTAAGCCTTGCACATCTGCTTGCATGGCAGCAGGACTGTTTCATAGCCATTTCAAATATCAATCATTTACCATTACTGCAGTCAGCCTCCCATATTTACCAGATTGCTCTGCAGTTATTCAAACTGACACAGTCCATATGAGTGACTGATAGAGGGTGTCCTTCATATTTTTTACCTTGTCGCTTTGTGATGAGAAAAACTCTAAACCCTGCTGTCTCATTACTGGAGAGTGTAATCAATCTGGAAGAGGAGAATGTATGAGCAGAAAAAAGAAAAATCAAACAATCAATGGGATGGAAACAAGTTTTGAAAACTTTTTTTTGTTTTTAAAGTAGGTTTTCATCGAGGGAAATTTAACTAAATACAGTTGCGCACATTCATTCCTCTGAACGTGTACCCTCTAGTGTACAATTCGGGGGAAAAGTAGGGGACACTGCTGAGGGGGTGACCACCTCATGTCAAACACAAGTACAGATTAATCATTGGGACAATTTTGAACCCTGGAGGAAACCAGGAGAGGGCATTGAAAAACTGAACCAAAAATAAACAACAAAAAATAAACCAATAACTATAATAATAGTAATATTTAAAGCTGCAAGCAGCGTTGGGTGGGCCCTCGCGTGTGTAGCGCGTCGAGGTGTGAGGAGACCATGTTGCAGATCATGGAGCATTGCCACACGCTTTGGACGCTGTACAAAGGTGTTAAACGTCACTTCCTGTGTCCCCTTTGTAGCGCTACAGAGCACTTGGCGCTACGACTATCACTGAATATTGGCACGTAGATATGTTTGTGGCGGGACTGTTATCAAGCACATAAATTTTGGTACAGATTTGAGCATGTCCAGTGAAGTAGTGACAACTTCCTGTTTCATGGCGAAACATGGAACTTCGCTGCCACGCTACGGATTTTCCGTTGAAGGAAAACTCACATGCTTTACAGCATGACATCATCAATGTGTTAAGGGTTTTCTGAAATAGTTTTGAAGTAGTTTATAGCCAACCTGCAAGAAGGCTTAATCACAGCATAGAAGTAGTCACTTCCTCTTGCCAGCATGTGGCGCTATGACTATGGGTGAATGGTGAATGTAGGCATGTACATGTGTTAATGGTGGGACTCTTATTAAACATATAAAATTTGGTACACACATGCACATAAAACCTGCTATTTATCGAAATTGAGCATTGAGGCCTCCAGTGTGTACGTAGCCTATGATAATTTGTCTACTTCTCTAATAAATGTGCAGAGAGTAAAGACATTTTTAAAAAATTTTGATTAGTGTATCACTTTAAAACAACAAAACAAGTTGGAAGTTTAGTCAGTGTAATAAAAGAGACAACTTCATGGTCCCATTGTGTACTATACTTTTCTTTGTCCTCAGTATGGATTGAGACACTGCTCTGAGTTTTCTGACTGACTGACTGGAGCGAAGCTTTTCTGGGTTACAGAGACAGTGAGGGATTACGTTTCCCTGGTGCCAAGACATTAAAATCCCTGTTATTAATAAACCACTGAAACCCATGGGACATCCTCCACCCCCCACAGGCCTGTTCTCCTATAATTGACTCATTAATTGACTCATTTAAATCTATCTAATTATTTAATCAATTAAATTCAATTTAGCTGATTGCACACTTCCCATTTTGAATCAAGTGCATGGTCTTGAGAGTGGGTGGAGGTGAAGAAAGAGAACAAGAGAATTGACGAATAAATGTGTTTCATGGTAATAACCGTTAATGTGCGGGCTAATTACTGGAGTAAATTGATCATTTTGTCTTAATTGATTTAAGCTTGTTAAAAGGGCACGGTGCCAGCTTCATTTGCCATGAGCACTTTATCTGGATGACAGTAATTGGAGGTGAATGCTCTCGTTTCTTGTCTCTCTCTGCCCTAACTAGGCCTGCAAGACATCAATCATAAGTAATGGACAAGTACTATAAACATGTAATAGAAAGAACTCTAGAAAGAAATCTGGTTTTAATGTAACTCACACACATGCCCTGTAAGATCTGACTAGGGCCAATTCAAACTGTCACTAGACATTTTCACTTGAAAATAAATCCGTTTCTCAATAAATGCTTCTTGATGTTATTATGTTTTCACACAACTACTTCTTGTTATTTTGTCTTGCCACAGTGCAGATTTGGTGAGGTGGAATGTCAAAATAGAGCAGACAGTGGGCAGAACCATCAACCGACTGTGTGTCCTTCAGGACAGGTCCGCTGCCTGTCCTGCTGTCTCTGCTGCACAACTGAACTCAGCCCTCTTGTTTGATTCTCTCTTGAATCTGTGGATGAAGAGGTGCAGGTGCAATAATCTCAGATTTGTTTTCCTATAGGTTTCTGTTTTAGGTGACAAAACTTATACAAATACTGTATTTCTTTTCCAATTCTAAAAAAAGATTGGCATTTTAAAAATTGTTTTTCCACATAATTTCATTTGTGGTGTTTAGTACCGAAAATTTTGCTAATGCCACTTACATTACATAGTCCTCAATCGTCCTTGTCAGAAGTTTTTAGGACTGCTTGGAAGAAAGACATAAATCTGGAAAGACATGTTGCTGTTGAGTTTTTCCAGGAGAATATGTCATTGCTTTGAGCACCAAAAACAAAGTTCTATTCAACCCCTCAGAACTCGAGCTTCTCCCATTGCCCAAAATAGTTTACAATAAAACATTATCAACAGTGAGCTTGCAGTGTATGCATACAGTTATTGCAACACTCCTGGTTTAAAACACCAACTGACAGATGCCAGCTCAGTTTATAAGAGCAGTTCCAAGGTGAAACTCAATGAAGTGAGCATCAACTTATCCTCCAATGAAAAGCCCTGAGTGGGCCCTGCGGGGGAAACCAGAGGTTTTGTTCCACATCCACTTGGAAATTCAAGGCACCATGTCTTGTAGAAAGCTATTTTAGAGAGCATTTAGGATTAGATTGGCCCTATGGTGGCAGTCAACCTATTTCCTCACAAAGGGGAAGCAGGGAGGAAAGTACTGTTTTCAAAAGTTTCAGGAAAGCCTTTTCTGTGACTACAACATCTGGTCCAGATTCTCTGTCAGATTGCCATCCTTCCATTTAGCTTTACCATTTATTTCCAGAAATGGATCTCTAGTGAAAAGAATGTGTGATATAGAGAAAGAGAAGAGAGAGAGTGGAGAATTGCAGGTTTTCAGAGTGAAGATGATGACATTGCGAAAGACCCAAGTCATCTGTGTGTGTGTGTGTGTGTGTGTGTGTGTGTGTGTGTGAGTGAGTGTGTTTGTATTTTCCTGCCCATCCAGCCATGGAATGTCAGATACAGAAGACGATATGGCTCTGCAGGGGATGGCTGCTACCTAGTGTGTGTGGTGTAGGATATTGCACTGCAGGGGACAATCCTAAACTTCAGTATCCATCCATTAAATCCTCCTTGAGTCTCTGCACACACACGCGCCCACACACACACTTTTTAAACTTTCATGGTCTATGCTGAAGGGTGCAAACTTTTACTCTGAACTGAAAAAAAGTTTGCAGAACTAAATCGTTACTCAGTTTCGGATAATTTTCATGTTTTACACATGAATAAAATAATTATAAAAACAATAACAATAATTATATATTCCTCATCCTGCATTCCAGTTCCATAGTACACACTAATTCTAAGCAGGTTTTAGTATGCAGTACTTTCACATTGAAGACAAGGACAAGAACAATTAAGTATCCTCAAAATTGCCAATGGTCACAGCTTTTTGATTTTCTGTCATATGTTTTACACTGTGTCCCCATAATGCAGAAATGGAGGAGCTACTGAGCTGTAAAAAAAAAAAGTAACGATTGCAAAGAACAAAATAATAGTTAATCTTAGTATGTTAATAGTTATCTTCAGTATGAATTTTATATTAGGAGCTATAATATTAAGAAAATAATGCTAAAATACATTCTGAACAACTTCACCAGGTTCATTGCACATCAAATATATAGTAATACAAAGCAGTAAAATTGCAAGCCAGTACAAGGTATAAATGTATCTATGGGCATAATTGATGTTGCTCAGCAATGCAGTCTTCTTTTATCTCTATTATGTAAATACTGACTCACACCAGAATGTGCAAGTACTCAACCCATTGTTTCCTCCAAATTTCTCTGCAGGTCCCAAAGGGTTTGTTCATTTATTAAATATTAATAGAGCTAAGGAAATTCACTCATCTGAATATTGACTGGATGTTTATCATTTATTGTGTGCAGGGAAAAACAATAATCCTGTTAAATCAACATCAGCCATTTTCTAGAAAATGTAATTTCCTTGAACGAACACACACACACACACACACACACACACACACGCACACGCACACACACCTGTACCTATGGAGACACACACTTGTCTCTCTCATGGGAGCAACTCAACACAGGTATAGGACTTCAATCATCCAACATGACAGATTCCACAAGGAAACTCCAAATCCCTGCAGGACTAAGCCTGCGGCTATACAACCCAGAGGCTGTGGCTAATTTTGATTCAACTCCTCTTTATTTAAATCCTCTGAGACTCTCACCTGCATCTCTGCTTGAAAAAAAAGGCCTCGTCTACACTACAAAAGATTTTACAGCAAAGACATTTGGGAAGAACCAGGTGGAATAAACCAATATGCTGGTTTGTGGTATGTGGATTTTTTTTTTCTTTATCTATTAACAGATACACCCCAGCAGCTCAGAGTTTTGCTCAAGAGTAGCTCTTTAAGGGAAGACCGAGGACATCAGGGTTCATATGATCACACATATGGGTTGGTTTTCTTTTGATAAATCATTCATAAAATAAGTTTTATTGAGCCCGGTCTCATCCCAGGGCGTCAAAAACTGATACTTAAAAAAAGCCTTATAAAGTGTTTGTATTTGACCAGTGTAACCCAGCCGCTGTGTGACATATTGTACTTAACCTAAACAAGTAGTTTTTCATGCTGAAACCTAACCAAACTGCATATATACCACATATTAAAAAGGCATTTCATAGATGAGAACGTGTTGGGTTTATTGTAGATTTATGGTAACTAACTTTATCTCAGCATGATGTATCCAAAGCTATCCAGGCATCCAGCATCCAAAGCTATCCAGGCATCCAGCATAATACAGGCAGCATTT